AGAGGAATTACTGCGTAACTCTAGCGTTGGTGGAGCGCGTCAAACATTTCGACAAGTACCACTAAGGGCAACGTTCCCGAGTTAGAACGGAACATGCAGCGCTGAAGTGACTACTACAGTTCAAGAATCCAGGACAGCTAGCTCGGTGGATTGAGCGACTGCTAAGTTATGACTTCTCCATTGAGCATCGAAGTAAGTGTCCACGGAAATGCTGATGCCATGTCCCGTCGACCATGTAGCCTGGAATGTAAACACTGCTCAAAAGCTGAGGCCAAAGAAGACATTATTGATGTCCGACTAACGACAATTACACCAGTCGAAGAGGGGAAGAAAGAACTGCTACGAAAATGTCAGCAGGAAGATCCAGATCTGGAGATTTTGATGCATGGATTGGAGACGGACAGACGCCCAACTAAGGAGCAAATAGCAGCGGGGAGCCCAATCACAAAGGCATACTGGGCACAATGGAACAGCTTGAGGTTGATATCTGGCTGTTTGCATAGGGTATGAGAAAGTGAAGATGGCCAGTGCTCCCGCAATTTAATAGTAATTCCGAAGGTAAGAGTTCCGGACGTTCTCAAGGAATTCCACAATGGTCCCAGTGGAGGGTACCTGGGAATCACGAAGACGCTGGAGAAGATCAAGCAGAGGTTCTATTGGGTTGGTTGCCGGAAATCGGTCGCAGAGTGGATTGCTACCTGCGCGGAGTGTATTGCAGCTAAAGGGCCGAAATCCCGAAGTCATGGCCAGATGAAGCAGTATAATTCAGGTGCTCCATTCGAGCGGATTGCCAAGGATGTAGCCGGTCCATTTCCTATGAGCACACAGGGAAACAAATACGTCCTTGTGGTAATGGACTACTTTAGCAAATGGCCGGAGGTATACCCGATTCGAACCAGGAAGCTAAAACAGTAGCTGAGGTATTCAGCTACAATTGGGTTGCGAGATACGGTGTACCTATAGAGCTGCACTCTGACCAGGGAAGAAATTTTGAATCGGCGGTGTTCCAAGAGATGTGCCAGATACTGGGTATCCGGAAAACTCGAACAACGGCTCTTCATCGCCAATCAGATGGCATGGTTGAACGGTTCAACCGAACCCTGCAAGAGCATTTGCGGAAGGTCGTGGACAAGAATCAGAAAGATTGGGATGTCCGCATATCCTTGTTCCTGATGCGATACCGGTCAGCAATGCATGAAACCACGGGTAAAACTACTGCCAAGGTAATCTTCGGCAGTGGACTCCGTTTGCCTAGTGATCCGAAGTTTGGAGTAAGTGGTGAGATGCAAGCAGGGTACGAAAATAAACTGTACAAAACAATTCCCATTTGCTCATCGATCATCATATCATTTGTGGTTTTGTACAGTTTTGTAAATAGTCAGAAACAAATTGTAAGATTCACTGTCATTTTCCCCAACGAGAAACGTTTGCTTTTCGTTTGTGACAATTGTACCATAGGGTACGTTTTATATGTATGCAAACGTTTCAATTACGTGAAAAATAATTTTTTCTGTAAATTTTCATATCCAATTCAATTAAAAAACATTTTTATTTTTTTTATTCATTGCAGCCATTCGTTTTGTATTTGTTTATTGCATATATGTGCATACATAAATATATTTTCCCTGCACGATTCATTTCGTTTGTTGTTTCGTCTGTAACTACTAAACTACTGTAGTGTACTATCGCCAAAGTGAACTCAGCCGTTTTGTTTCGTATTGTACCGAACTGTTAAAGTAATAAACGAAACGAAATAGTAACGTACAATATAGTTTATTTTCGTACACTGGATGCAAGAAGAATTGGGAAAGAGACGTCCAACATCACAGTATATACAGTAATAGACCTTATCGCGGTTTTTCACTAATTGGTCGCCGAGGAGTACTTTTGGGTTGTGTGCAGCGTTTCCGTTTTTCGCGCACGGCAATACTAACTGTGGGGAATTCCGCCTCATGATTAGAAAAAGTTATTTTCGACGGTAAAATATATGTTACTATGTGTTATTTATAAACAAAATGTAAGTTAAGTATAATATCAATGCTTAGTTAAGAATAATGTCAATAGTTAAGTACATAATTGTGTTTCTATAAACTGGAAAACTGAAGTCGTAATTATAGCACTGAATGGAGTTCTCTTAAATGTTAGTTTAAAATTCATCGTAAGATTATATTTTTATGAAAAACATAGATTTTGTTATTTTGTGAATTTATCAAGTAAAATTCTAAGTTTCGGAACATATTTAATTCTTTATTCCAACAAAAAAAAAACACAGGGTTTGTATAGTTATAAAGACTCGATGGCTATCAGCGCATCCGCCCAGACAGTTCATTAAGCACACACAAGTTGGAGCGACCATTACCCGGAGCTCCTCAAAAATACTTAACATCAAAGTATATATAGAATGTCCCAACTATAAATCATACACACATTCAATAGTAATTGCTATGAATTGCTACCGTATAAATTCAGGGCATGCGTTTGCTTGGACACTCCGTTGGCTATGGTGGTCATGGTGTTGCTCCTTTTCATACCACAGTAATTTTGTATATAACTCTGAATCAACAAAATTCATTCTCATTATCAACCCTGTTCAGATTTTATCCCCGAGGAGTACTCAAAAAGGTATATTACTGTATATACTGTGTCCAACAGCCTGGAAGAGGAGCTGAGAGAGATACATGCTCTTGTTAGACAGCGTACTCAAATTATGAGTGACAAGATGAATGCCAGGTATGAAAAGGCGATGAACTCCGATGGTTTCCAAGAGTTGGACTTAATGTTGCTGTACAATTCACAACGGTAGAACGGTTTGTCCCCAAAACTACAGTGCAGCTGGGAAGGTCCATATAAAGTTGTCAAACGGCTGAATGACGTAGTGTATCGAATCCAGACCGTGGGGAGACCGAGAAACAAGATGAAAGTTGTCCACTTGAAAAGACTTGCAGTGTTTGGAGCAGCAAGTGTGTCTGATCGGGACGATCAGACTTAGGTGTAGGGCAGTGTGGCAAATACTGCGGCAACGCGAAGCGAACACGAGAAAATGGCAGAATGTTCGAGGAATGGCGTAGAATGGAATGTACGACAGTGAGAAACGTCAAGTGTATAAATACTGCGAACAGCGAGAGAAGGTGAGAATGAGCGATAAACCTCAGAACGTTCTAGAGTTGCCATGAGTGCGAGCGCAGGTATATAAGGCCGCTATTACAGTTGAAGTCAGTCAGCTGCGAATAAGCAAGCTATAAGTTCAGTTGTGTTAGCAAGTTTTGTAAAGTGTTTTAATTACCTTAAAGAGCCTCCGACGAGCACAAATTCGATCAGTGGGTCAATATAGGAGTACTTGTATTCAATATCACCAACTCGTTGCAGAAAGGTATAAGGTCTTTCATTTTACCTTTGTGAGTCGTATCTTTAGACTTTTTATTTTTTAAGGTAGATTTTAGTGGGTTCTGTGCTGAGTGTTTAGAGATGCGGGCTATCCCCCATTGGACCTGGTCCGAGCAACATCTAAATTAAAAAAAGGTTTGAGTCTTGGCTGGCAAACCTCCGATTGTATTTCTGCTATGAAAAAGATTCTCATAAAATCCATTTGCCGTTCGTAGCCAGCGTAAAATTGTAGGGCTTCATTTGTGTAACAACATCAAGACGCACACCACAAATTATGTGAAAATTCTTTTCGTATAATTTGCGCGAAATTTTCGTATAATTAACTAGCTTCTTGTACTCCCTTTTGCATGCAGTAGTAACTTCAGTAACTCCTTATTTCATCAGGAACGAATCGACGGCTGAGGTTAATATCGCCCTATCTCGGCTGGCGGTTCGAAAACGTTCTATATCAGCAAAAGGTTGAAAGCCCCTATTTCAGAATATGGTTGACGAACGCCCTTCCTCAGTATTTGGTTCAAATACGCCCTATCTTAGTTGCCGCTTTGAAAACGGCCTTATCTCAATATAAATTCAATATATTGGCAGCTAAGATAGGGCGTTCTTGAACCATTTGCTCAGATAGAGCGTTATTCAACCAGATTCTAAAATATGGCGTTCTTTGACCATTGCTGACGTAGGGCATTGTCAAACCGGCAGCCGAGATAGATATTCCACTCAGCCAGCGAGATAGTCATATGGAAGCAAAGTGTTTCCAACCATTCTTGCCTCTGAAGCTCAGTTTTGCAGGAATGAGGTCTTCGCAGCAGAATTGCACAATTTTGGTCACTGTAAAGTGGGAGTACAGTAAAGGATCGCCTGCCCGTAAAGTGGTATGCAAAGGAGGAGACTTGGAAACTAGTCCTTTCCACCCGCCCAGTAATGTACTGTGCTACTCAGAATCTCGTCCATTCCACAGCTTAAAAAACGTGACACTCTTAGATATTTTAACAGATACATAGGCCGTGTTATAACTAGATTAAAAGAAAAACTGTTAAAGAAAACTGAAATTACTCTTATTTCTACTTTTAATGTCCAAATGCTGATTTTGTAATATTTGTTATATATGTTTATATGTGAATGTATATAGGTCATACGACCGTAATAAATAAATAAATAAAATGGGACGTTGACCCCACGTAAGCCATGCAGTCAGTTTACGCGTTGTTGAAAGACCCCGGCCTCCTGTACGGCTGTTATGTAGGCTTTCTCGTGCAACATGCGTCAGTCGTATACTTGCAAATTAAGTAGCCGCCATAGAATGCTGAAAGTTTTTTGGGTTTGTGGAATTAAAAAAATAAATGAAACAACGAAATTATGCAATAATACTTATAAGCGCCACCACTCGTCCTAAAACTTAGTTTAGTTATAGTGAGTTTGGCCATTTTTGCTATAAAGCACAAAATCGTTTGGTTCCCTTACTATATTTTAACTTTTAACCCATTGTGTGTGGAAGCCATTCTCATAAAAGCATAAAAAAAAATATTTGATTTTTGTAAAAAAAAATCCATATTTTTACATCTAAAATCATATAATTGTTTGTCAAAAGTTCAAAGACACGTGTTTTCGATGACTATTACCTCAGTAGCTAGCGACGGATTCGCTCCTTTCGCCAGCAGAAAACGAACGCAGGCATCGTGATTTTCTTGCGCCGCCATGTAAAGTGGTGTAAACCCATTTAACGATTGCACATTCACATTTGCATTGTACTGAATAAGTAGTTTAATTACGTCCTTCTGACCAGCCAGTGAAGCAATGTGGAGCGCTGTGTTCCCTTTTTTTGTGGCATTGTTCACATTGATGCCGCGTCGTAGGAGCTCACTTACGATATCGATGTAACCATCTTTGGCAGCCAAGTGAAGCGCATTTAAGCCATTCTGCAATAAACAAAATATCTTTATGTATAAAGTGCTGAATAACTGCATAAGGATTCGCGGTTTTAAGGGTATATTAATATAAAATATATGCGTGGCACTCTTAAACTCTTTGATTCCAAAACATACATTTAAATTATGGAAATTAATGCAATAAGCAATAAATACCGCCATTTTTGTAAAACTCAGATATTGAACAATATGTAAAGTAGGATTTTCTGGTCCAAGCCTTATCTATACAGAGTTACCGCCAAGGTCATCTTAGATACTCGTACTTAAGAACGTATTATTTAGCTGATTTCTGATTAAATTGTTTCAATGACATGATGTCCAAAACTTAACCGTTTTCGAGATGTTGGTCTTTAACCCTCTAACAACCAATTTCTCAACGGTTAATATTTGTTTTAGGGCAAAACGCAGTGGAATCTTTTCGTAGAAATTTTATTTACTCATTATTTACCGTTACTTTATTATTTGTTGTTTAAAATTTGCTTTATTCTCTCTGCTAAAGTTAAATCATTTGGCCTCAAAAATGAATTTCAATGGAAACAAAACTTTAGGAGCCAAATAATCAAAGTCATATTCGATCCAAAATTAAGTGTAAAAATTTTTTGTTTGCTGTATATTCTTTTTTATGATGAAAAGGCCACCAATCGTTGTTTAGAAGTGAAAATATAAATGATAATAAGTAATGAAGGCAGATTTATATCAAAACTTGCATTCTCGACTTTGGGTTTTTTCGCCATGGTTTTTTTTTCCAATTATAAACATCATTGTTCTTTATTATTTTTCATAGAAATGAAAACCAATGGATGTGTCTTTAAACCAAAAAAGCATAGATTTTCTGATTGTACTGAAGCAGAAGATCTTCAACTGATGAATTAGGTAGATAAAGATAAATATATAATATATCCCAACGGTTTTTACCCTCCATTCCCGCCCATCCGCACGAGGGGCGCAGTCCGCATGACGTACGGAACCAATATTTTAAATTTTTTGTGCCGAGTCACGATAGGCAGGAGTTTGTTAAGTGTCGAGATCTAAAACTGTTCAGCTACAGAACTAAATTCATCAGCTGATTTTATGTATTTATGTCAATAATTCACTTATTGAGAGAGGAGAGTATCGCTTTCTTAATGCTGAAAAGCGGATCTGATATATCAAAC